TCCTATGACAAGTGCTGTGTAGGAAAGATATTAATGTAGGCTTCTAGCCTTACCAGATCTGACCCAGTTCCCTAGTGACCTGCACTGCAGTCTCAATGTAAATGAACAGAGTAGATAGATCCTGTATTCCCTGCTCTCAGATATGATCAGAGTCTGCAGCAGATTCTGCATTGAACGTTAGCAAATGTTCTGAAGAAGATCCTGTTCCCCAGACTCTCCATGAAGGAAAAGTTAAGCTGGACTTCAGGGCACCTTTCTATTTCCTCTCTAATGACCTCCATTCCTTGCCCCTCAGTGGCATTTGACAGAAAGCCTGGCCAAAGCGGAGGTCCCCTGGCGCTGGGTGCTCAGCCACAGCAGATCAAAGCGGACTACAGGCATGCTTTTTCTGGCTGCTGTGATACCAAATGCAGAAGCACATGTAGGAGGTAGAGTCCAGACCATCTGCTTGTGCCCATTGCACCAGAGGTGACAAGGAAGTGAAAAATCACTTTAGCAGGAATTGATGCTGAAACCCTGGAGGTTTGGGGCTCAATCCCACACTTCCTTTTCGTCTCTGCCAGGGTTTCTCACTTGGGATGATAACCAGGCTCTGTTGCTGGGGCAGCTGAGCATTTCCAGCGCGTAATTCTTTCTTGTGCTGTGCAGTAACACAGCAGAGCATGTGAGCTTCAGTTCAGGAAAGGTTAAGTCTGTCTTTTCCCAATCACCTTTTCATTTTTTCCATTTTATCCAGATTCCTGGCTTAGGGATCGAGGGCTGGACACCGATATTCCTCCAGACTTTGTGCTGCTGGAAGCTACAAAAGTCAAAGCATCCATCTTACGTTGTCCCTTCGTGAGTAGTCATTAGGGGGTGCTTACATTTTAAGTGTTCCTCAATAAGTGTAGCATAAGCTGGCAGATGTGACTGACATGCCACTTGTCATAAATCCTTCTGTTTCAGCGATTTTTGCCTCCATTTCTTTGCAGGAGGGTTTCTTCCCTATCAGTCTGTACCTATGAATAGAAGGGCTGAGGAAAACATGCTCCCTTTCAAAAATGTTTTTTGGAGGAGCCCCAGACCCACACCTTCCGAGGGAGTGGAGAGACCCACCTCGTCCAAGGTGGGGGAGGGATGAGGCAGGAATTCAGTCCCCTTCCATTTTCCTGTCGCAGATAGGATGAAGTGCTCCCTCAGCAAGTTTGCAGATGACACCTAGCTGGGGGGAGTAGTAGATAAGTTGGCGGGTAGGATTAGGATCAGAGATACCTTGACACATTGGAGGATTGGGCCAAAAGAAATTTCATGAGGTTCAATAAGGAGAAGTGCAAAGTTCTGCACTTAAGACGAAACAGTCCCATGCAACGGTACAGGCTGGGGGCTGACTGGCTGGGCAGCAGCTCTGCCGAAAAGGACCTGGGGGTTACAGTGGACAATAAGCTGAATATGAGCCAGCAGTGTGCCCTTGTTAGAAAGAAGGCTAAAAGCATCCTGGGCTGCATTGGTAAGAGCATTGCCAGCAGATCGAGGCAAGTGTTTATTCTGCTCTATTCAGCCCTGCTGAGGCCACATCTGGAGTACTGTGTCCAGTTTTGGGCCTCCCACTGCAGAAAAGATGTGGGCAAGTTGAAGAGTCCAGCAGAGGGCAATGAAAATGGTTCAGGGGCTGGGGGATATGACTTCTGAGGAGAGGCTGAGGGAACTGGGCTTATTTAGTCTGCAGAAGAGAAAACTCAGGGTGGATTTAATAACAGCCTTCAACTACCTGAAGGGATGTTCAAAGAGGATGGAGCTGGGCTGTCCTCAGTGGTGGCAGATGACAGAACAAGGAGCAATGGGCTCAAGTTGCAGCAAGAGAGGTTTATGCTAGAGTTTAGGAAAAAACTTTCTCACTAGGAGGATAATAAAACACTGGAGCAGGTTACCCAGAGAGGTGGTGGAAGGGCTCTGTCCTTGGAGGTTTTTAAGACCCAGCTCAACAAGGTCTGGGATGATCTAGTTGGGGATGGTCTTGCTTTGAGCAGGGGATTGGACTAGATGCAACCTCCTGAGGTCCCTTCCACCTCTAACTTTCTATGACTCTGTCTCCCCAGAGTTTTAAGCAGTGGTAGATTTGAGATCTTCCCAAACAGTTTAGGGAAGGAGGGGGTTCGGAAAAAGAAGGCCACTTCTATGGGCTTGTGAAAGGGACAGGGTTCAAAGCAAAATCTCCTCTATCTTCATATGGGCAAAGGGAAATAACACCCAGCTTCCCTGCTGCTGTGGGGAGTGCGGTGGAGAAAACACATAGCCCACAGGCTTCTGGGGCCGGGGTAGCAGGCAACACATTTCTCCCATCTGTCCACATGGTAGGGGCAGAGGGGAACATCAGTCTCCCATGTTTTCCAGTGAGCTGGCATCTCGTTCTGCCCCTCTGGGCTTCCAGGAGGGCATGGGAACGTACACATCCACATGCTCATTTTTTAGGGTTGGGGAAGGGGGACTGGATGCACCTCTAAACATGAAGTGGAGGGTAAGAATCATGTCCCAGAGGCTTTGAGATGGGAATCCGTGGCTCCCCCAGATGTTGGTGCCCCCCAGATGTTGGGGACATCCGACTCTCCCCCTGGATGTTGGGGCCTCCCCCAGATGTTGGGGACAGCCCCTTCTCCCCCGGATGTTGGGTCCTCCCGCAGATGTTGGAGGCATCCCCTTCTCCCCTGGATGTTGGGTTCTCCCCCACATGTTGGGGACATCCCCTTCTCCCATTCCTAATGGGGAAGGGACACACACACTGCCCGGTACAGGCTTCACCCCCTCCCCACAGACCCTTCAGAGGGCCCTGCAGCAAACCCCCGCGCGCGGGCAAGTCACGGGAGCAGCATCCCCCGCACGCCAGGCCGCCGGGCCCTGGGAAGCCGCGGGCTGACTTTGCAAGCACCTCCCCGTGACGCCACGTGGGCACCGCAGGGGCAGGAGCTGGACGCGGCTGTCACTGCAGCGGGACTACATGTCCCAGGAGGCTTTGCGGGACGCGCTCCACGCGAAGCCAATCAGGACGCTCGCTGCTGGCCCGCCCGCCTATAAAAGCCGAGGTTCGCAGCATTCCGCCCTTTCCATGCGCTGGGCCGAGGCGGGACAATGGCGGTGAGGCGCGGCCTAGTTCATCATCCGCTGCCATCCTCCCCTCTGGGCGCGGGTGCGGGCCCTTGGACCCCGCAGGCCGGACCCCGAGCACTGGGCTCAGAGGGGCGGCGCGGGTGCTGCAGGCAGGGCCGGGGTCTCGGGGCTGGGAAGCGGTCAGAGGAGGCTTCGGCTGCAAAGAGCCTTGGGCCTGGGGTGGGGAAGAGGAAGGGGCATGTGGGGCTGCAACCCTCGCTTCTGACCTGAAGGGTGTCCCGTCCTGCGGGCTGTGCAGTGGTACCAGCCTGGTGCCCCACTGATCCAGACTTACCCGTCTCGCGTGGGGTTGTTTAAGCTGGTGGAGACCTCCAGCTCTTGCAGCATCTTTATCCTGGCGCATAACAAAACTCTGAGCTTGGGGGCATGCCCCACCCGGCCTCTGGGGCCAGTGTGTGCTTGCAGCGTGTGTTGCAGCCAGGGGAGTTGCTCTGGCGTGCGTGTGGAGAGCAGACACGGGCTCCCTGCCTTTGTGTGACAGTGGCTGTTACCTAGCAGAGTGGCTGCCTGCTCTGATGGCGGCTGCGAGCTGCAGGAGTTGCATGCTGTGCTGCTGGTGTGGAGGCTACCGGGCATTGTGCAAGAGGAAGACTTTTGCAGGATGCATAAATGAGAGAATTGGTGGCTTGGAGGATAAGGGAGTTCAATTGGCTGTTCAGGGAGGGTGATTTGGGGGTCTTGTGTGGAGACTGGTCCAGTTACTTTGCAGCAAAATTGCTGTAAGGCAGGTGGCCCTGTAAAATGAGCATAAATGCTAACACAGTTAGAGGTAGACAGTGCACCCCACCCCAGGTAGGACGGCCTCTACCCAGCTCCTTACACGTGGCAGGATTTTAAAGCACAGCACTTGGGATCGTTTCTGGGTTGTGCTGTTCCTCTCCACACTCCTGCATTTTCCAGGCTTGTGCAGTGAGACTGCTTTTTCTTTCTTCCAGGTCTGGCAGTGCATCAACTTTCACAAGGCCTGGAGTAGAGTCTGGCGATGCTGGGACCTGTCCAACATGGGATTTGCACTGCTCTCATTTGGTACGTGGCTTTATACCACTTCCTTTGGAGGTTTAGTAAAGACTTACACTTTTACTGTCCCCTGACTGCCAATGATGATATTGGTCATCGGAGCAGATAAGCTGTACCAACAATACCTGCTCGTGTTTTGGTACCGATTACATAGGAAGCACTTGAGACTGTTTCCACGGCCCTATCGAAGCTGCGTCTGTCTTGCTTGTGTAGCTGGCGCGGTCAAAAAGGAGCCAAGAGTGATTTTGTTTTCCTTGACGGTCGCTGTCCAGTTTGTTCCTTTTATAACTGTCCAGCAACATTTCGGGAAAGTACATGTACAGCCAGGGTCATAAACCAGGAATGTCAGGTTGGAAGGAACATGGAGACATCTGTGCAATGAGGTGGGAGCACCTGGAGCTGGATCATACCTGGCAGGTGTTCTGTAGGCCTAACCCACTCCTCTTGTGATGGCAGAGGGGCAGCCAGCTTTCCAGCAGGCCTGGTTCCTCTATTACTAGCCCATATCTAGAATAAGAAATGGAGACTGCTGTGGGCTAACAAACTGTTGCACTTTCCTTTTATTCCAGGGAGGTGTGGGTGATCCCCTGCCCATGGATCATGGAGGGGACCTATCTTCACTCTGTACAATGAGTCAGACAGGTAAGCTGTGAGACTGTCATGCTTATGAATGGTGTGGTAGCTGCTGAGAAGCCTGACATGGGGCCATCCTCTTGCAGTGCATCCAGGCCCTGGGGAGGAAGGTGTAAAAGGCAAAATACTGTTGCAGTAGTAACTAGCTGATGTTCTGGTGGCCTGTTCTATTGAATACCCTTTGTAACTGTTTGTGTAACACAGTGTACAAGTAATTTTGTACTGTAAAGTGTATTCTGGTTTCATATTTGCTCTGTGTTGTTTTGTACTGCAGAATGTGCTTTAGTTTGACCATAATCATGTTTGCCACCAGTGTCTATTTTGCTGTAATATTGCATCTTTCTTTCCCTCCTGCTCCCCCCCACCCCCCTCTGATTTGTTGATCTGGGGGAATGCATGCTGTCTGGACAGTAGAGTGCCATGGAAGCGTGGCAAACCCTGATTAGGAAAGCTAGGGTGGTGTCATGCCAAGCGCAAGGGAAGGGGCAGCTGGCTAAAAGATCTGGGGCAAAGGAGCCAATACGGAAGGGGAAACTCGCAGGCATTGCCATGGGTAGGCTTGGCTCCTGAATTCTTTTGCAGAGCTTAACTGCCCCAGCAGGAGCTGTGTAATCAGGACTAGGAATTTCAGGGGTGCAGTACACAGATTTCAGCTGCAGTCACCCCCTCACAGCCACCACGTGGAAATGGAGATTGGCACTCTACAGCCTCCCAGGGAGCAACAAAAGGTCCCTTGCATTGCAGATGGACCAAGGCTTGCTAGTAGCTCCATGAGGTGCAGCAAACCCCAAGAAACAACTCATAAGAACTACAGTGTGGGCACCCCCCCCTTGTCCAGCCTGTTGCCAGGTGGCAGGTGTGGTGGTGCAGGCCCCCAGAGCTAAACCTTTGGGTAATCCCCGAAGTTGCAAACTGTGTGGGCATGGGTGGAGTTTCCCTGAAGAGGTAAACTACAGGCTATACCTTGTAGCTCAGCATTTCAAATTGCATTTGGTGTTTTCTTTGTCTCTATCTGCTGTAATAAATCTGACCTCCTGTGTTGACACTGCTTGCAAGGAGGGGGGTTATTGCAGGGCCACTCCCATCCACTTCAGCGATCCCAGACTCCTGGGTGGGGGGCTTGAGCCACAGTGAAAATTTACTGGGTGCCCTGGAACTCGAACCTAGCCTTTATTGCTGCTGACCAGTACCCAGCAGAAGGGTTACAGTAGGATTCCTTGGTGTGGCCCCTGTTGTGAAGCAGAGCTCTCCTGGAATGGACCTTGCAGATGAGATGTGCTGTGGTGGTAGCTGCTCTTGCAAATATTCTCCTTGCTATCACTAATAGATAAGTGTCTACCTCTTGTTGCTTTTCACTGCTAGGTCTCAGTGCTTCCCAGAGAGGCCATTATTGTCCCTATTCTACAGAAGGGAAACGGGCATGGCAAGGTGAAATAACTTGCTGAAGGTCACCCAGCAAGTCCATGGCAGGTCGGTGCATGACCTGCACTACTATCTTCTGCTGAGTGACCTCCTAACAGCTGTTCTGAGGCCTGTTGGGATTGCCAGATGCTTAGGCTGCATGTAAATCCAAGAGCTGTGGCTCAACAAAAATAGCCACAGGGTCTCCAATTACATGCAATAGCAAGGAGGAGGGACTTTGATGGCGAGGCCCCTGATGCCTGTAGCTGTCACTCACCTCTCCTACAATGGGCCCACTGTCATGCTCTGCAGGGTCCGAGTCCTGAGCAACGCAAATCTGTAGAATGCTGTACTGTGGGACTCCACTGACTGTAAGGATGCTGTTACAATCTGTGTTCTAGGGCTTGTTGGCATCATTCAGACCCCCAAGCAATTGTCTGGATAGCTCACCTGCTAGATGAATGGAACTTGAGTCGGAGCAGCCACTGCACGAGGTGAGAGAAACTCCATTGAACAGAAATTTAGCTGCTTCACCTCCAGAACCCTTTCCCATCAGATCTGAACACCGATCTCATGGTCAAAAAAGGAGGGAGAATAAAATACAAGCTGGTCTCGCCCTCTTTGCTGGAACAGTCCTGCACTGAGAGACTAGTTTGAAAACATTTACTTGCTGGCAGAGCCCTGAGGAATGTAAATCTCTCTGGTCCAGGGAGTGTGGATAAACACTCTTTTAATGCAGCTCTTATTTGGAACGTGCTAACTAATTTTAAGGCCAGAATGGGCTTTCCCAGCTGACCACCTAAATAAGCAAAACTTTCCCCTTGTTGAATTTGAGCTGATGTTTTAGGTGTACCGTGCTTGTATTTGTATTACTGATCTGTGCAGAAAACCTGTTCCTGTTTCTAATTCCTGTTCCATGCTTGCTTTTCTCAGGAATCTCTCAGCAAATGGAAGCGGCTGAGAACTGTCTTATCAGGAGCCAGCACAGTAATCCTGATGCCCAGAGGAACATGATGGGCACTTTGCAAGGGGCTGAAATTCTGGAATGGTGTTTGATAGCAAAGTAAGTTTCATCAGTATCTGCTTTGAAAGGGTTTATCATGTAGCTTTTCACATGTGCTTCTAAAGGACCTGTCAGGGAGGCCACAACAGCATCAAGTTTGGTGCACTCTTGCTTTAACTAGGATCATTGTGTCTGTCTACCCATAAAAAATGGTTGTGTGTGAGTGGTGTAGCCAAAGAGTACTAGTTGATGGGAGCAAACCAGTGTGGCACAGGGTGACACTCTTGGGCTGGTACTCTTCAACATCTTCATTAATGATCTGGATTCAGGGGTCAAATGCGAACTGGCCAAGTTCACGGATGATACCAAATTATGGGGGAGGACAGCCACACCGGAGGACAGGTTAGGGATACAGGCCAACTTGGACATGCTCTCAATGTGGGCTGACCAAAACCCAACGGCCTTCAATGTAGAGAAGTATAAGGTGCTGCATCTCAGTAGGAAGAACCTTCAACATACTTGCAGGCCCAGCAGTGCTGCACTCATTAGCACCATGACCGAAAGGGACTTGGGGGTCTTGATTGACCACAAGATGAATATGAGCTACCAATGCTATGCTGTGGCTGACAAAGCTAACCAAACTCTGGTGTGCATCCACTGATGCCTCTCAAGCAAAACCAGGGAAGTCATCCTCCCACTTGACTTGGCCCTGGTGAGACAGCGGGTGTAAGTTCTGTACAGTGCGTGTGTCCAGGGTCTGGAACAAACCCCCCCAGAGGTGGTGCAAGCACCTACTCTGGACTCTTTCAAAAAACTTGATCCCAGCTCCCTACCTGCCTATGGTGGGGGGACTGGATTCAATGATCTCTCAAGGTCCCTTCCAGCCCCTAATGTCTATGAAATCTATTACAGTCCAGAAATCAGGCAAGGATTGATTGACTGAAAATGCAGAAAATGCCTTGCTCTCAAAAGCTTGTCGGACTTCATTGGACCAAGTACATATTGCCAATCTAAGAAATGTTTGCCCCTCGCCCATCTGAAATGGCAAAACCCTAGCTAACCCCTGCCCTTCTGGAGCTCCATGGTAGTCCAAGGAGGCTGGCCACTTACAGAAACTTATCAGTTAACTGCACTGGTAGGCTGCTGGTTGGAAGGAATTTTCTGACACTGGTCCAAATCCTCATGGTGAAAGTCAGTTTAGCACTACTGAATTTATGGAACCATGCAAGTTTTATAGCAGTTGAGTATCTGGTCCCACGCTTCCAAAAAGAAGGGGGGAAGGGGGGGGGAAGCTTTTTTCTAGAGCTGGAACATTTCCCTAGAATGAGTATAGTTTCTACAATTTGTGCTTTTCAAGGGCTACTTACATACCTGCTTACCCTGCCTGGTCAGTGATGACTCCTGTTACATGGTGACTGCTGGATGAATCCTGCGGATATGGGACTGAGGCCAGGCAGTCATTTAGAAGGCGGGATGTAGCACTTGGGAATGCCAGTGCTCTTGGCCAGCAAGTCATCTGCATGAAAGGCTCCCAGTGCTGCTAAGTGAATTGCCCTGGTGCAGACAGGATTGGGAAGGGGACCTGAATGTGGCAATGAGGCAAGCTGTTCACTCTTCCCATCTAGATCTAACTTGTCGTCTTGTGTGTTTACAGGTCAAAGTGGAACAAGAAGCTGAAAAGCAGGCCAAGACTGGGCTATAACTGCTATAGCTTCCTCCTTTGGAACTTTGACTTTACATTTCTCTTGAAAACCTATTTCTGGGCTTCCTGCATCATCTTGCTGTGCCAGGGCACCTTTGCTGCCTGCCACTTTAAGGGCTAGAACAAGCAGCAGAGCAGCCTACAGATGGCTGCTTTTCCAGTCAGGAGTCAAATGACCAGCAGGAGGCTGCCTGATTGGGAATGGGGCACAGCTGCTAGGGATCAGAGCAGGCCCTGGGAAGTAGGGCCAGCAGTTGCTGGAAGCAGCCAGGGAGGGAGCGTCACCTGGCTGGAGCTGCTGCTCACAGAACACCTGGAGGTCAGGATAGGAACTATGGGGATGGAGGAGGTTCCTAGGGTCCAGGCACACTTTTAGAGACACCCAAGTCCCATGGGACATAGGCCTTGAGGCCCCAGCAAGGGGACATAAAAAGTAGTAGGGTCCATATGGGGACCTGAAGGACTGTGCTGAAGGGACATAGAGTAGGGTCCATGTCAGCAGGCCTGAAGGGCTGAGCAGGGGCATGCAGGGTAAGGTCCGAGCAGGGCCTGAAGGACTGCACGTAGGACGGTTCCACTAGTTCATTGAGTTGAGGCCCAGTGATAGGGCATCAGCTGGAGGCGCAGGGTGGTCTCTGGACGCCTGAGGTGGTTTGGGCCAGAGTCCAAGTGCTGCCCAGCACTTGGGGCCAGGGGAATTGGGGGTAAGTTGGATGCCATCTGTGAAGTATGGGACACAGTATAGGGGAGGTCAGAGCCATGTATAATGCCCTTGACATCAGAGCATTAAAATGGGCAGCCTCCCACCTTAATATCAGTTTTATCAAAGGCATGGCAGGTGAGCAGGCCAATGACTTTGACTGGCTGTGAGTTGGCTCCCATCACACTTGTACAGAAAATCCTTGTTGCTTTTCCCTAGTCACGTGTACACCCCAAGCTGCCCAGGACAGAGAGTCATCTGGCATATGCTGGGAAAGTAGTCCTTGAATAAAAACCCCTTTTGGTATAAAGATGCTTGGTCTTTTTTGCAAGTCTTTCCTCTATTAGGGGCATTTGGAAATAAAGCCACTATTGGAAACTTTTTTCTTGGACTCTGCTGTGTCTACTTTTAGTTTTAGTTCATAGCTTCCAATGAGAGTTCAGGGGGCCGGTATTCTGTATAAGACTTTTATACTGACTAAGAATAACATAATACTGGGGTTTTTTTAGAAAACTTAATTATGTGAAAAGAGGGGTGGGGGGCATTAACTCTGGAAAATACACATGATTTTCAAGATAAGCCGAGAGATTTCGAATGGGAATCTGTAGTTTCAAAAAAACCTGACCTGCTGTGGTCTTCTTGTGTTCTTTACAATAGAATAATTGCTCTATTAGTCCCCATAGAGAGAGGGGGGGGAAAAGTGGCACCTAAGATTTTGAATTTTCTGAGGGTTGCCTTGGGTAATGAAGTTGAGAATTGCTCTTCTATACAAATTGTCTTCTAATGTACCCTAGCTGCTACCATGTCACAAAAATGTGAAATGTTTTATAACTAAAGCCTTACACATGAAGCGGCATCTAAATGCAAAGATTGGTGGTATGTATGTTCATGTATCGTGACATAAAAGTTCCATTATGCTGGAGAAACAAATTTCCAAGTATCTGTTTAGAAACAGGAAAAACGACAGCTGTTAATGTAAGAGGCAAGGATTTCTCGGGGTATATGTCTTAGTAGACCAGCTATGTAGTTGGGATAGAGTTAGACAAGCTTTTGAATGCAAGACATTCTTTCCCAGGTTGATCAGACTGATGAAGAATGTCTTGCATTCAAAAGCTTGTCTAACTATCTCAATTGCAGATCTGGTCCAATAGATAAAAAGATGTTGCCCTAAAAATTCTTGCCTCACATAATTTCTAGACTGCCCTGCCTATACCCTCACTCAAACTATACACTTGGTAAAATGTCAGTAGGTAACTTTAATGCCCTCAGCTATCGTATGCAGCCTTTTAGGCTTACACAAGTAACTGACTGCAAAAAATGTGACTGAGAATAAACAGCTAGATTTTTTTTTTTACCAGCTCATGATAAAAGGGGAGTGGACATGGCAACTGCAATCTATGCAAAATAGGAAGCACTGAAAATTGATATGCTCTTCATCTGTTTCCAATGTTGCTTTGCACGGTAGAATTGCACTTTAGTACCTGGCCATAATTAGCTGTCCAGCTAAGACACCTGCCCCAAATTTTGCTGTTATCGTTTCTTTAAATGCTTTTATGGATCTCTTTCTTTATTACTGTGTTGCGTGCTGTGTCTATGCTAAGAGGTACAATACATGCATTTCCATTTTGACCTCGATGTCTTCGTTTTCAAATTCCAAAGTCATGACTTCTCACTAAAAAGGGATAATCCCCTATAGGGGCACTATAAATCAGAGCAGTTCAGCCATTTCTGGTCATCGAGTGTTTTGAAAGCTGGGACCGAAGATATTTTATTAAGTTTGCAACTGCTTTAAAATTCATGAGCTCTCAAGCCTGAACCACTAGGAGCAGGGCCTGCCCACAAGATACAGTTTTGGGGCCTCCTGACATGAAGAAGCCGGTGGAGGCGTCGGTGGCAGTGGGGTGGGCAGCCAAAGAAGCTGGCAGGGGGAGGGGGAGTGGCCAGTGGCTGGACGTGACCCCAGTGGTGGCAACTGCCCACACCCCTTGCTACGGCGCTGATTTAGAGTGTTCCTGGCTGCAGGGGGCCCCCGTGGCCACAGGTTCTGCAGGATAGGATGGGCCAGCCCTGACTGGGAGTATAAATTTGGCCTGAAACTCCTACTCTTCACAGCAAAGAGCCTCAACAGTAGGCATATCAACACAAGACACTAAGGCTACGGACAGAAGTTGCATATAAACTAATTTAAATAATCGGAAACTGGTTTAAACCTATAACAGAACAGAACTGCCCCCTGCAAGGAAACCCTGGCTGGGGTCTGGAGCCAGGGAGAGGAGTTAAACTTCCCTTCCCCCGAGTACAGAGCTGCCCTGCTCTGCTAAAAACTTACTGCTGGCTGTGACTGCAGACAGCAAACCTCAGGGACCTGGGGGGCAGCAGGAAGAGGAAGTGAACACACAGCCCATGTTGGCTATGTGCCAGAGCTGTGCTTCAGTGCACCCCCCACCCCCGCTTCTGGCCTGAGCTGCTGCAGGTATGTGGCGGCATTTCCTGCATCCAAAGTGAAAGTCTCACCAGTTGTTTCTCAATTTAATCCCTGCAGTTTAGATTAACCAGCAAAAACTGGATCAATTCAGCTTTGGGCTTTTTGACTGTCTGCATTTACCTTAAAAGTGCAGTAGACTAGTTCTACGGCTCATTAGCGCGTCATGACAAAAGCCATGCTAATGAGCCATAGAATTAGTCCTCCTGTGCACTGGTGTCACTTAAAAGATGTCTGCCAGTGCTCCTGCACAGTAGTGCCAACTATTGCACATTCAGTTAGTACCTGTTATTACAGGTACTACACTTAATGTGCCATAATTACAGCACATGAATGGACATGTAGACATGTCCAGTGTAGAAGAAACTGGCTCTTCACGGAGCAAATATATGTGAAGTTTGATCAAAGAGTAAGAGTGGTAAATCCTTGGGGCCAGCAGCTAGACTGATGCAAGCAATAGTCCTGAAATGAATTTAAATAGTTGAGCTGTTAATGTTACACAATTTTGTTTTCATTAAATTTAGCTACTGTATTGGGTGGGGAGGGGGTGGCATATAGGGCACATCTACACCCCTTCCATTCTTTCTGCAGAGCAGCTGTGAAGCATGCCCCCCGCCAAGCCGTGTGTGCCAATTTCCAGAAAGGAAGCAATCTAGCCTACAACAGTGCCCAGCTCTCTGTTCTCTGTCTTTCAGTCTTGGGCATGCTCACTGGTCTGTGTTTAGGGTGTTTTTAAGGCTGCCCCACTAAGTGCAGAGGTGGAAGTACACTGGCAGACGATACTCCTGGACATGATACAATGGCGGTGCAGACACACCACTGTGTGGCCTCTGCTTTTCTAAAGAAATCTGCTCCCTGCACAGATTTGAGACCCTCAGCTGGAAAGTAACTAAAGGAAACCACTGCACTGAGGATTTGCCAGGTTTTAGTGCTGTCGGCTCCATGCTCATTCCCTGCATGACAACACTCCTATCTGATGGAATCGGCTTCTACTGCAGTCAGGTGACACGGGAAACAGGCAGAGTCCACAAGGAACTCACACTGCCAGCGTCCCCAGCTATCTTCTCCACCTACCTGCATAATGCTAAGGAGGCGCAGAAAAGGGGAAACTGTGAACAGAATATTGGAAAATGACCCTTTCTTTTCCTTCCCTTTAGACCTGGCAGTTTTGCATGGTTGTATCGGGGGGATGGGTGAACTGAATGTGATTTTTATAACTGATGTTCCAGAGGATTAGAGGGCAGGGGCCCCGAAAATCCTGCCCCCAAAGATGGGAGAGGGACCCAAGAACTGAGATCTTTCCTTGAAGGCTCACAAGAAGAGGCTGGTTAGTGCCGTTTAGCAGATGGGGGAACTGAGGCACAGGCCAGTGGCAAAGCTAGGGCTAGAACCAAGTCTCCCGGGTCACACTCTAATACCCTACTCATTAGGTCACACTTCCACTGTACAAAGCACAACAGACCCCCCACCCCCGACCCCCCCAGTACATGAACTCTGACCCTATCACATTCTTTTTTTAACATGTATTGTTTAACTCCTCCAGCTCTGAAAACCCTCCTCATTAGTTTTGCTCACTAAGATGTTTTGTATGAGGGGATAAAGGACAACCTGGGGCAGTTCAGGGGAGGATGTTGACAACAAAGGCCCCCTCCCTCTGTCCCCAGTGCCTGGGACACAGGCAAGGAACAATCAGCACCTGTTTGCGGATCATTCACAACTCCTGTCTGGCAACAACAGAGTCAGTTCAACTGTTCAGCCTTCCCTTTCCTAATTAACTCCTGGCCCTTTGTGAATACTGTTCATGGCTTTCACTATCTCATTCTCAGAGGGAAATGATTGAGCTGCTAAACCAAGCTATACTAATCAATCATGAGGAGAGTAAGCCCTGTTCCTCCAAAGGATTAGGCCCCTTTCTGCAAGGGATACTAGGAATGGCTCAGCCTTGACCAAACTGGGCATGTCTACATGTGCTTCTTTTAAGCAGGCTTAGCCTAAAATTGCTACTTTTAAGGCACATTGAGGGCACGTGTTTACATGTGCGTACCCTTAATGTGCTTTAAAAATGATGAGTTAAGGCTATGTGAGCCTAAATTTGATACCCGCATAAAGCAGGTATCAAATTTAAGCACAAATAGCCAAGTTGCATTAGCGCATGTGTAGATGTGCTAATGCACATTAAACGTGCGTCAATGGACACACACCGCATTAATATGCATTAGCACATCTGCACATGCACTAATGTGACTTAGCTATTCACGCCTAAATTTAATGTGCCTTACTGTGTGTTAGTGTGTCCATGTATAGACGTGTGCCTAAATTGCCTTAAGTTTAGAAGCGTATAAATACACATGTAGACATGCCCGCTGTGTTCAAGACAGTGGCTGAGGATGAAGCCAGAAATCAAAACTGTTGACGCTTTTAACCAGAGCCAAGGTTTCCAGCACCTGGGATGTTCTGAGCTAACAGACTGCACTGTAGTTCCCCTTTTTCTCTGCAGTGTGGGTCAGGCCCCTCCTACCCTCTGACCCGGGTCTCTGCTGAGCTCTGTCCCTCTGGCCTCTGCTTTCTTACTCTTTGGCCTGCAGTCTTTCTGTAATGATTCCTGTATTCGAATGTAGATAAAGGGACATTTTTGAGATCACGTGAGTGGCTGAAAGGTAGTAGCAGTGATCAGCTGAGGGCTGGGCTGCCCTCAAAGGTAGAACAACAGGAATCAAAGCTAAGGGACCTGTAATCCCTTACCTGTAAATCCCCCTTCCAAGGGGCCCTAATCACTGTGGCCCCTTGGAAACTGTAAGTTTCTTCCCTACTCCTCTAAAGCAACACTAGGTTAGTGGGCTCCCAGTCTGATCTGGATTGGAAATATCTGCATTCCTAGGACCCAGAGACATTTGGCAGCC